AATCATTTTTTTTCGAAAATTGTTTGAATACAGCGAGCGAAACAGCGCTTATTTTTTCGTCGTTCAAAATCAGCTGTGTTCAAATGATCTCGATAATAAGATAAAAGACAATAACGTGTCTGGAAGAAATGTAAGTGATAATTATGAGTTTGAAAAATGCTGATAAAAGTGTCAATAAAGATCACTCATAATGACTATGAACAGTAATATTGATGATGTTGTAATAGTGATGATGATAAGACTATATACTAGTAATTATGATGATACTTTTCATTATGTGCTTGTTTATCAATATTATCACTCTCCCTTTCTGATAGAGAGAGAGAGAGAGAGAGAGAGAGAGAGAGAGAGAGAGAGAGAGAGAGAGAGAGAGAGAGAGAGAGAGAGAGAGAGAGAGAGAGAGAGAGAGAGAGAGAGAAGAGAGAGAGAGAATAAGAGAGCAAAAAAAAAGATAGACAGACAGACAGAGACAGAGAGAGGGCGGGCATGAGATCAACTGTCACTATATTGAGAAAAAAATGCCATTTTAGCATTATTTTATCTATAGCTGCAGTGTGTCTCCGAAATATGAATAGAACCATATAAAATACCGATTCCATATATCCTCAGTGTAAAAAAATACCCCATTTAGTAAAAGTTGATCGTTAAAAAAAAAAAAAAAGAGAAAATAACAGAAAGCAGAAAAAAAGTTTCCATATTCACTTTGGAAAAAATAGCAACTTGGTAGGCAGGTAAGGTCAAATAAGGTCAGGTCAAAGCCAGGAAACAGGCCAAAAAAAATAGAGGTCAGATTCCCAAGGGAGATAGTAGTGGGTGGGATACGGGGAAGGGAGAGGGGGGAGGGGGGGTGAGGGTAGGAGACCTAAAACGATTCTGGTTCCCAACTCTGACCCTTGCCAGTTCTCCCTAGCAGGTCAAAGGTCACGCGGTAACCTAGAGAGAGGTAGTAGTTTGTATAAGAGCCCGAGCAGAGTGACTGGACGGACTGCTTGCGGGTGTGACCTTCAAGCAGGTATTAAAAGCAGGTGTTTTATTTCACGGTAAGTTCGGATAAGCGTGTATATTACTTTTATATATATTTATTTATTTGTAGTATATATATGTATCTTTAGTAATTTCATTATCAGTGGCATTTTATTGTTATTATTTTTATCAGTATTATTGCTTTTTTTTATTCATATTACCTTTTTCGTTATTAGTAGTATTTTTATCCTTTTATCATTTATTATTATTACTGTCTTTGTTATAATCTTTATCACTATTAGTGCTTTCATTATCAATGCTGTTTTATTATTATTGTTATTTTTATTATCATTATTGTTATTACTATTATCACTGTTATTATCATCATTGGTATTATTAGTTGTAGTGATATTTATATTATTGTTATCATTATTATCATTATCATTATTATTATTATTATCATTATCATTATCATTATTATCATTATTATCATTATTATTATTATTATTATTATTATTATTGTCATTATTATTTTTTTTATTATCATAACAATTATCATCATTATTGATATTATAACTATCATTATCATCATTATCATTATCATTGTTATGATTATTTCTATTACTATCATTAATTATCGACATTATCATTATCATATTATATATCATTATCACTATTATCATTATCATTATCATTACTATCATAATCATTATTATCACTATTATCATTATTATTATAATTATCATTCTTGTTATTTTAATCATTATTACCATTTTTGTTATTTTTATTATCAATATCATCAGAATTATCATTATTATTGTTTTTATCATTATCATTATCATTATCATTACCCTTCTTGCCATCATTATCATTATCAATACTTTCATTGTCATCACTACCATCATTATCATTATCATCACTATCAATATCATTATCAATATCTCTATTATCATCACTGCCATCATGATCGTCATTATCAATATCTCTATTATCATCACTATCATTATCATCCTTATCATCTCCATCATCATCATCCTTTTCCCAATCAACAACACCATAACTAATATTTTTCTTCTATATCCTTCCGTTCCCAGCCCCCCCCCTACCCCCCCCCCCTCCCTAAGGATGCGTGGCTTCAACCTCCTGTTCATCGTTGGGATCCTCCTCCTCCTCGCCATCATCCTAGCCTGGGGGAGGAGATCCAGGAGAAGGAGGAGGAGGAAGGAGGAGGAGAGGGAGAAGGAGAGGGAGGTGGAGGAGATTCAGGAGGAAGGAGGAGGAGGGAGGGAGAAGGAGAGGAGAGGAGAGGGAGAAGGAGAGGAGGTGGAGGAGAGGGAAGGTGGAGAAGGAGGTGGAGAGGAGGAGGAGGAGGAGAGACTGCAGGTAAGGTTGAGTGTTTTTCTTCTGGTTTTTGGTTTATGGGTAGAGTGGGGGGGTCTTTGTTTATGTGTGGATATGTAGGTAAAGAGACACACACACACACAGAAGAGAGAGAGAGAGAGAGAGAGAGAGAGAGAGAGAGAGAGAGAGAGAGAGA